ATAGTAGGGGAGCCCACGATGCTAAATTGGGATTTACTTGAGCGTCCTTGGGACCTACTGGATTTTGAAGATATGCTGATAGAAAGAAGAAATGGTTTAGTGACAATTTCTTCCACCAATGGGGGAAGGGGGAATCTACAGATCTTTGAAATTGTTAAGCGTAATTTTTGTTCTAATGGTCGAGCGTGTCAGATATTGATAATGTACATGCTCCATGTGTATTTAATAATAAAAAAACTCTTAATCTGCCAGTTTGCATGGTGGGGTTGAATGTTCTGGAGAGTACAAACGAGAACCCTTCAAAATCCCCCCACTCTTGCAAATCAAGTTGGAATGGGCAGATTTTTTAAACGCACTTCCTTTAGCACGGTATTGACCTACCTTCCCTTAATCTGACGAAACTGACTTTATTTAGTCAGACTTTTTTTTAAATTTTCAGTCCCCCCCTTCTAATCAGATCGGATATATGTTGGGTATATTCAACATGACACTAGGTTTTCCCCATATGTTAATCTGACGCGCTCGAGTAACTACCGAAATCCCTTCATGGGCTCCCCTACTATAGGTTAGAAGTCGGTGCCACAAACCCATAACAAAATATATCTTAGGTAATGGTCACAGGTATAATCCACAATAAAATTGTAAACAGCTTAATAATGTTAGGTATCTATTAAGGTTTTAATGAATAATTTTATGTAAAACTTGTGGCACCGACTTCTCACCTACCAGTGGGTGTGTAAACTATATTATTATGTAAGTACCGAAGTACGTATGACCAATAATGGTTAATTTTTGCTATTTAGTTTTTACTTTTCGTTTGTTTTGTTTTTGAAGACGGATTTTATGAAATGTTATCCATATCATAAAAACTAAGACAAAGTTACATCATGTTCGATGATTACGTCCGGATGAGACCCGACCGCGCAAAAACAAAGTGCACATAGTTCCACTTCCGTAAAGATTGTGTTTGCCGTATTCTCGTACTATTTACCATTTGCGTGATGTCTTCGCTTCCGAGCATTCAGATTATCGATCAGATCAGCGACAGATTTCCCAGATTTTAAACAATAGGTAAATTATATCATGTTATAAATTAGGTGTTCACTATACAGTGGAGCCCTGGTTGTTCGACAAACATTTTGCAGGGCAGTGTCGAACTATCGAATTTGTCGGATTATACACTGCCTAAGACCCCCTATAGTCCGATTTTTTTTTACAAAGGAGTACCTTGTAATTCGGCAAATTACAGATCCAATGATAAGATTACAAATCATACTTCGATATAGGTATGTCAAAGGGCATTGACTAAAATTGGTGCCTTTCTTTTTTCTGGCGGCAGTCGATGATTTATGAAAAATATTATCTAGAATGACAATACAAACGAAATTGTCTATGGGCTCATATATGGAAATGTTAGTCTGGACTGAGTTATGAGCGTTGAAAGGAGCTGGAGTCAAACATTTTAATTTGGTTTTTTTATTCAAATTATTCATATTTTTGTCACAATTTCTAACTTCAAATTGCGCGCCACTATACGCCGGGCACAGGATAACCATATCACACCACAATATATCCATATTGCCAGGCACTAATTTTTATTAGCTATTTTCTCTCAGTCGATAACTTGTGGGATGCTTCTAGGAGTTGTGTCATGAAGTTTCATGAGTGTCAGCTGTGGTACCAGTGGTGGGTTGAGTAGTGGTAGCTGTCCAAATATGTAATAAAGTATTATTTTTGAGACTCATCCACTTTAAAGTAAACATAATCTTTTGAAGAAAGGAAACCGTCGACTTTGTAAAGTGATGGACTATACGTCCGATGAGCGCATATTTTTTTTCATATAATGTGATTAATCGAAATATTATCCATCACTTTGTGACTGAATGACGATATCTTTGTACAGAATCTTATGCTAGCTGTAGATTAAAGTATTAAGAGTAGTTACTAATCGGAAGTAAGTCGGGAGAAGTAAACAAATATTTTTTTTCGTGTTTTAACGACTTCCGCTACTCAATCCGCTACCGACGCCGCAGCTGACAAACATAGCATTTCATGATAGGGCTCAGTAAAGTATTTTGCGGGTTTTCGACTGAGAGGATATTGATCATGAATAGGAATCGAATCAAAATCGAAATCAGAAATGAATAGGAAAGGATATCTTTCATAGGCCATAAGCCATAACATATAAAGTGAACACGCTAGCCAATCCAGCGAAATGTTTTTCTTTTTACTTCAGTAGGGGCCAGTTAATGGTTCACTTCGTTCTGATTCCGAGGCCTTATAACAAAAAAAAAATTGAAAACAAAATAAAAAAAAGTCCACAATAAGGTTTAATATATTCCTTGAAATCGTTTATAAACATTTATTACAAAATATTTCTGACAAGTAAATGAAGAAATATGCGTTGTGTACGGTCACCATTAACAAAATAACAGGAATAATATAGCACTATTTTCACATCTTTGAACTGATTTCGGTTCGGACTGAGTTTTTGACATAAGACCCCATATATTTTTTTGTTTGTAATGTTATTCTGCATCAGTTTTTCCACATCCAATCAACTGCCGTGAAAAAATGAAAAGGCACCACGCTCCATACTAATTTGGTCATTGTCATTTAGTAAATTCAACAAGACAAGTGTACAAATAAATGTACATATGTACTAAAATAATCGAACATTATGAATCAATTTAAAACTAAGCAATCAGAATCAAAACAATACCCGACGTGTCGAGCACAACAGCGATAGTGCGTATAAGTAGGTAGGTACTTGTTCAATCGTGATTTAACGAATACATGTATGTAATAAACGATGTCGGATTATAGGGGGTGCCAGATTAGCCAGGGGCCGGATAACCGGGGCTCCACTGTATATATAATTGAATTATTTATATACATAGTGCGCCGGCGCTTTATAAGTATGTTCAACTCTGTCAGTTATTAGCTTGTTAGGCATTACCAATAAACGGAGTACTCCACTATAAGGCCTAGGCTAGAATGAACCTGGCTACTGTGTATTTAGATGAATGGGTTTTTTCTGAGAAATTCTACAACTATGTAGCTTTGCAGGACCAAATTGAGGGTATTCAAAGTAACATGTACTTGCTTATCCCATCATCTGATTTAAGAGGGCATAGGGATGTCCAGTTATATTCCAGACAGAATATTACTGTTGAAGAACGAGACTGTTGTGCAGTTAAAACCACTCTTTCATTTTCCGTGCTTACTACGACCACCTTACGATTGCACGTTTCCAAAAAGAGCGGCATCATAATACTATACTACTATCAGTATCACAGTATTAGTGTTATATTGTGTATTCATGTGTAGCTCTAGGTAGGTACCTAATATAACAAGCTACTGAGCTTAATAAATGTATTAAGTAACTATAATAATCATAGCTTATTTGCTGACGACGTAAATACAAATTTAAAAACAAATTAACATCATTTATTCTATAATTGCTAAAATACACACTAAGTATACAGCTACTAACATTTTATTTTCTCTTCTTCCTATCGGCCCGGCTGCCGCCCATGTCCTGGAGTTGCTGTTTAAGTTCAATGAGTTGATTGTCAGGCACATATCGGATCTCTTCGTGCGCAATCTCGTGCTCATGCACGCGCAGTGTGCAGCTTTCTGGTAATAAAGCACGAGCTACACGCAGCAATGTGCCTAGAGCCCAAGCTGGCACATCAGTGACCTAAAAAAAATTGTTCCAACATTATGGATTTCATTGTTTTATTTCCAATTCAAATGCATTTATTGTTGTATTATTTGTGTATTTTTTATATTAATTGTTACCTGTACATTTCGCTCATAGATATTAAGATTGTACTCTGTATCAACAGCAGTGCCACCCGGCTTAAATCTTTGTACTTTAATTTTCTGTGCAGGTGTTGCCCAGCTAAAAAAAGCAAAACTAATCAAATAACATAACGGGTAATTAAGTTTGCATAATATATTGTTTAATCTGTTGAAAATCATCCCCTAATTTTTTAATATTAATTGTATGGTATTTACTGTTGGCAGTCGCACTTGCGACTACTCGGCCAACGAGGCAGGCATTAAATTTTATTATTACATTATAGTATTAAGACAGATATTATTGTCAATAAAGTTTACCATTCATCAACTTGAATCCCCATAACCTCAGCATATTTATGGAGTTGACTTTGATAGGCTTCCAATAGTGCAAAATCATAGCCTTTCAACTGCAGGTTGAGGCAATCATATACTGGTTCATCAGGCTCCATGCTCTATAATAGCATAAAAAATGATTATTTCTAAAAAAAATACATTTTGGGGCAGTTTAGTACTCTAAACACACATGTTATGTCTACTGACATGACAAGTGTGTGTATGATCATATGATCATATCCATAAATTCATGTAAAGAAGTATGTAAGGTAAGGATCTTACAAGCTGGTGTTTTGAGGTTTCTACTTACTAGGTGTTTATACTACCATGTAAGTATTCATTCAGAGAAATAACAATTAAATACCAATTATTATTCAGAAATATGTGACTATATGATATATATCAAGTTCAATACATGGAAGTTTACAAAAAATATTATTAAAATATAAAGGTAACAAGTGACGCCTATGTCCAGTGGTGAATATCTTCTGGCTGATGATGACTGTAAAAACATGCATTTTAACTTACTATTAAATAATCAGGTTCATATAAATCACTCTTAAATCTTCTCTGTTGACTGTGAACCACTGGCATGCTGAATTTACGCATAGCTATGGGTTTCAAAGACTGCTGGAGTTTAAGCTGTAATAATTTGTTGTTTCATTAGTTTCTAAGTAAAAATGGCTTACTTCTGGATTATCAATATCTTACTTACGATGTTCATTATTTTTCTACAAAACATTTTTGTTGTAGAATCTACAGATCCAAAGATTAGAAGAAAATTATAAATATGAATGGAACAAGAGGTTATGTCATTAGACGATATTTTGTATAATAATACATATGTGATTTTTTACTGAAACCGCAATGGCAGTTTTGCAAACTGCAATGTTATCATTTATACACAGGCCAAATTTTGGACCTTTTGGCATAAGTTAGAAAATGTATTTTATGGTACAAATTCGATGACACACTGACATCTGACATTAGTTCTTAGTTACTAATTGGCATTGACATAAATGATGGATGACATTTGGGCAATTGTTTTGCTAGTTGTTAAAAATTACTCTTCGAATTCGTATGAAAATAATTAAAGTTGCCCATACACTGTCCAGCAACATAGGTTACAATTAAAACAAAGTACTAAAAGAAAATGAGAATAATGGAAAGGTAGAAATAGTAGATAAACGTGTGTATTAGTAAATTATGTAGGTATATGCACCACGTAGGTAAAGTACTTAGATAATATTAATTATGAATTAACGTGCAACCTGTATGAAGAAATAACTAAGGGATTTACGGATCCCTTCAGCCGTTTTGACATGCTTAAGAAACAAAAATACACAAAATCTCACTCACAAACATTCACATTTATAAACTATTATGAAGATATAATTTATACCAATACATTAATAAATCTCTGATGATGATGCATCAAAGCTTGATGCAAGCCATAGTAAATGAAATTTTCTATGAAACTGGCAGTTAAAAATATCCACATGACATGATTCATGCTTTATAAAAAACTCAAAATGTCAAAAATTTGTCTATGTTTTGCTTTACCTTCGTGCATGAAGACATCAATGAAATGGAAAGAATGGTAAAGAAAATTATAAATTAGGTGTTCTGTATTTACGATATTTTATTAGTGAATAACTTAATGGTGAATCGTTTATGGTTTTGTACCTTTTGAAGCAATTTCCCAGAAGAAATGGCGTCAACAGGCAGTACACCTTTTCCGAAATGGCAACTTGCAATTCTTCTTGGCGCACCTCTTGCCATCGGTTTAGGTTACCTTTATCTCAGAAAGAGATTGGAAGATCCCGAAAAGAAAAAAGTATCTGAATTAAAAGCTAAAACTACCATTTCATTGGATAATGAAGAAAATAACGCAAAAGTCTCTGAGAGCGCTATCGACCGCGCCATGAAACTGAAAGGTGCCGGAAACCGGGCTTTCCATGCAGGAGAATATGATAAAGCTATAGCTTTGTACAACGAAGCCATTGAAGCATGCCCACCTGACCGTCCTGTGGACCTTGCCACCTTTTATCAAAATCGGTCTGCATGCTACGAAAAACGCGAAATGTGGGAGCAAGTCAAGGAAGACTGTACTTTTGCCCTGAAACTTAACGAGAAGTATGTTAAAGCTTTCTTGAGACGTTCCCGTGCTGCCGAAAAGAGTGGTGATCTTGTCCTAGCTCTTGAAGATGTTACTTCAGCCTGCATCCTTGAGAGGTTCCAAGTACAAAGTTCTCTGGTTAATGCTGATAGGATCTTGAAAGCTTTGGGTAGGCAGCACGCTCGTGAAGCGTTGGCTAAACGTCGCCCAGTTATGCCATCGAAGCATTTCATTAAAACTTATTTCTCTGCTTTCTCTGAGGATCCAATTACAAAAATACAACTTGATGATAAAACTGTTGGGGGCTTTGCTAGAGCAAAGCAAGCTTTAGATGCTCAAGATTATGATTCCATTGTAGATGCATGCACTGAAGAAATCAAAGATGCTGATGGGAAATACAAAAATGAAGCACTATTGTTGCGTTCAACTTTCTATTTACTGTTAGGAAGGCATGATGAGGCCCAGGCAGATCTTGCGAAAGTAATTGACAGTGATGCTTCTACCAAGGTTAAGGTAAATGCTTTGATCAAGCGTGCTTCATTATTTACTCAATTGGAAAATACTGAACGTTGTCTAGAGGACTTTGCAAGGGCTGCTCAGCTGGATCCTAACAACTCTGATATCTACCACCACCGTGGACAAGTGTACTTGCTTCTGGAGCGTATGGATGAAGCTACTGCTGAATTTGCAAAGGCTGTTGAGTTGAACCCTGACTTTTCTATTGCTTACATACAGAAGTGCTATGCTGATTACAGACATGCACAAATCAACAAAAATGTTGGTGCTCTGACACAAGTGCGTGCTGACTTTGAAAGGGCATTGGAAAAATTCCCTCGGTGTGCTGAAGCATATATTCTGTTTGCTCAAGTGTTGTCAGATCAGCAGGAGTGGGGTCGTGCTGAAGCATTGTTTGATGCTGCACTCTCAGTAGATCCAAACAATGCTACTTTGTATGTACACAAGGGGCTGGTGCAGCTCCAGAAGAGCACAGATTTTGATAAGGCTGTTAAGTTGATTAACAAAGCCATTGAGATGGATGACAAATGTGACTTTGCATATGAGACACTTGGTACAATTGAAGTACAGAGGTGAGTTAAATCATATTACAAACAATTTTTCTTCCAAGTATAAAATGATAATACTATAATTATTTTGTTAATGTCAATATAACTATTTACTACACTGATTCATTCTCTGCAAAAGTAATATATCTACTATTTCTTAACTATTGACACGCTATACTGGTGTATTATCTATCTGCTGTTATCACAGAGCTGGTTTATCGTTCATGGCTGTAAATATTTAAAATGATAAGAAATACTAGATTACATTGTCTTGAAAGAAAAAAATGTTGTTATGTAAGATACAATACTCCTGCAACTGTTTCATTTGTCTTTTGTATTTATTAATGATTTCATCATAATCAACACCCTGTTCCTTTTAAGTACTGGACTCTTTAATTAATTATGTCTATAGTTTTATTAGTAATTACTGACCAAGGGTTTAGAGAAGAGACTCATCATATCTTAATGTCATAAAATCCCTGTATGCCTGTGTAAGGTAGCCAGCGGTACATCATAATGTAATGTAAATTAACATCCAGTTGATCCATATTTTATTGCGGTATATTAATATATATATATATTTTTTTGTATGGCATAAGCCGGTAAACGAGCAGTCGAATCATCTGATGGTAAGCAATCGATGTCGCCCATGGACACCTGGAACACCAGAGGCGTTACAAGTGTGTTACCGGCCTTTTGGGGATTAGGAGTTTGAGGATCGTTGGGGATTCAGGAATTAGGGAGATCGGGGAAGGGGAGGGTAATTGGGCCTCCGGTAACCTCATTCACATTCACATTTTTCTGTGAGGCCGTGGTAACACTCCTGTCGGGCCGGCACATTTGTGCCGAAGCATGGCTCTCCCACACTTAATATTATTTATATTTACTCATCTTTACTTAAATGTGTTTATTTTTCAATTAAACATTTTTATTCTCTTTACAGAGGAAACCTGAGACGATCCTTAGAATCATTTGAAAAGGCTATATCATTAGCCAAAACTGAACTAGAGATGACACATTTGTTCTCTCTGAAAGATGCTGCAGCAGCACAACTGAAGGTATCTGAGCGCTGGGGACTGGACTGGACTGTCAGTTAGACTTGTGCCACAAAGCTTGCCTCATACTCAACGAGAATAAAACCTGGCCGTCCAATTAGCCAGAGAGCTCAGTATATTGTTAATAAATTATTCTCTCTGTATGTATCCAACTATCTCTTTTTCGTCATTGCAAAAAAAAATATTATTTGTTGAAGCTTTAAGAAGAGTGCTTGAGATACTATTATTTCAATGTGTCATATCACTTCTTAGATGTTATCAAAGAAATGTGCCAGATGGTATTCTCGTTGTGGACTACTGGTACCTAGCCGCCGCGGACTCGCATCGCAACGATAGTTAAGTATGGTGTTAATGTTCTAGCAAGCTTCTTTAATGAAGCTTTTAATTTCCCAAACTATTGTACGAATTAGGTGCACCCAATGCATTTGTAAAAATGTCAGTTTCCACAATGTTCTTTCTTGGAGTCAGTAGCTAAACAAAACTATAACTATTTTACAGTGTTTCCATAATATATCACAAAAGTTTAAAATAGCATACACGTGTAGTTAAAAGATTTGTAAATACTTATTAAATTCTATTAAAACTGCCTTTGCAATGTAGATGTATATTGATTTATTGGCATTTATTAGAAATTCTGATCCAAATGTCAAATAAAAATTATGTAAGTTGTATGCCTGCTTCATATTGAAGTGGTGAACTAATCGTTTCTCAAGAAAACCTTTAGTTAACTGATTATACATTTCTGCATTTACTATGAACAAATGAATAACTAAATTGTTATGTAACTTGATATTGTGTTGGATTTATTAATGAAAATGAATAAAATCCTGTCATTTAAATGTAATTGTATTGTTAGTGTAATGCATCTAGAAGTGAATTATTATTGTTGAGACTGAGCGGGAAAGTTACGTAGGTCATGTTCTTTTTCATAAGTTTGTAAACTTATCGTCTTTACATTGTGATATATTATTGTTTTTTTATTTGCATTTATAGCCACTGGTATGGATTGTATATTGAGTTTTAAATTTATATAATACCTGTAGTGTTTTTTAAAACATGTACTAATTGTCGCTCAGTCGCTCCATTATAACATGAATAAAATTTTAATGTTTCAATATTGTCTTAGTTAACTTTACTTAATATATTTAATGGGTCTCGCTCGATTTGAATTACTTATTCATAATTAAAATGCGTGCATGCATAATATGCAAGGTGACAAGATCATTTGTTTGTTTATTACAAAAAGAAGACAAATCAAGAAATGTTATCTGTCTTGAGTTGCCTGTGTACCACACACATTTATTTGGGTCCAAAAAAAGATTCCGAGTCAGATACACTATGAGTCATAAATATGTAGGTACTAAACTAATCTTGTTTTTGCTTGTTTACGTATTTGGGAGTGCGCCCTGAGTTTGCGGCGGTGATTGGGTGCTGGGTGCGTTCAATACATTTATTCGCAGTGCAGCGTAGGAAAAGTACTTAGGTATCTTACTTTTCATCTGAAACGGACATTAGATTATTGAATTACAAGGTTTCAAGGTGTAGATTGTGGCCCTTTCCAAAAGTAAAATTTAAATTGGTTAAAAATGTCAAGAAATTATTTTTAGTAACTGTAGATTGATTTTTAGAAACTGTGATTTTTCTTTGAACCTTTTCCATGTGTTTGGGGTCATCAGGCGTCTCGCTTTACACCCATATGACAAGTATGAACTCAACCGCCTAGAAATCAACTGTTTTCATAGGAAATAGATGATGTTTTGGATGCACCCATAAATTTTCAGTTAGAATGTGAAATTAGAATTGTAGGTCGCTAAGATGGTTCTACAAGAGTTGTTACCTCACCGATAGTGGATAGTTATCAATTTATGGAAACTACGAAATACATTATTAAAAATTAATCACAATTAGTTTTACTTAAAATTTTATTGCAATGTTACTATTCACTGCTACCCAGCTGCGGCCTAAAAATATCTACTTACCATGAGTCAGAATCTTGCATCAATATCGAAATAGACCGGCTCGCGTCCTGTATCCGTAGCCAGATTGCATTGGGCAATCTAAATACGCCCAATAATTTCGGCCCTTGACCCTTTCAGACCGATTAATAATAATAATAATGGATTCTATGGTGGAATAAAAACGATGATATTGGGCAATATTCGGTTCATTCCTCCATATGGGGGAAGACTTGTGGGGGAATTTCGTGCATTCGAATCTTTAATTAATATTTTAATAAACGGAATTAGGCATACCAATTGTCTAGTTTTAACTAAGAAAGAAGAAACAGACATTTTGAGGGCACTTTGTAAGTACCTATCCAATGCGCATAATTAGACAGAAATATACCTAACATTAATACCGTGGAAATAGGTAGCCATTTATCCTCCGTGGAATTCCGACAGTTCCACGGAAAGGAAATTATTAAGGTATGAGGCGCAAGTGTCATTAGACTATCTTCAAGTAATATACTTAAGTCCAATAGTTTTGCAACCCTTAAAGGATTACAACTACATGCTACTATTACTTACCAAGATCTAGTTGGCCGATCTTGGTTTATATCACAACCGCACATGTTAATAAATGTTGTTATTTATAATATTGAATTTCATTGTTATTATCGATAAGTCCTGTTCATTACTGTGTTACAATGGAACATTTACATCCAGTCGTTATGGAAATGATCCCGTCTCCTACAGAGGACTGTTTGGCCCCAGCCGGACAGCTGTTGCAAGAACACGTTGTATGCTAACCATACAGTGCGATCCTTGTTCAGGTTTCAAATTTGTTTTTACTAAATTAATCAAATACAAGTAGGTAGGCCTACTTTTTTGAGGGGAATAATCATCAAATTACTCGTTCCGTCCAGAATGAAGCGAGAGAAAGTGTCAGAATCTCACTGACTAAAAACCACCCTGTTCCAAGTCCTACTTCGAGCCGGAGCCATAGTGATAACCCTGGTGGTTCTTTGCAGCCCCCCCGGTTAGATAAGTGGGTACTTACCTACCTAATAGCATAGCTAATGCTATTGCAATATTTCATATCATCATACATACACCTTTATATTAAGTAGATTAGAGATGTAGGTAGTTGCAAATAGCTTGCTCATAAAATCTTTAGAATAAATCCTAGGTGGTACCTAACCTAAATACGTTATCCTATGTTACACTCACGATGCAAAGTACAATCTAAGATATTCCTGTATTCAGTCAATATTTGCAAAGGTAGGCATATTTTAAGTCGGCCTCTTTCAATAATTGTGTGACATTCTTGGTGCAATATTTTCTGAGATCTAAACTGTCTAGTTTAACGCTGTCATAACTTGTATAAATTCACAATGACACACTCGTTTCCTTACGCATGAATGCTACTTCATATAAACCCTGTTCACTCAACGGTGGCTGTGATAAAGTTTCTTCAGATTCCAAATATGCACACACATGTTGTTATTAAAGTTGTGGCTTTGGTTATTAATTTTGTTTAAAACAAATGAGGCACTGCTATGTTATAACTGTTCGACGACACAGCGTGAGTGGTCTCGCTGCGGAGGTGATTTTGTGCCGACCAATCTCGGATTCAACAGCACTCGGATGTTTCTTGTCAATTGTACAGGAGGTGTTTACAACTATCTATAATACTTTTAGATGTACTTTATTGTGATCTGATGTAGGCGTGAAAACTTTTATACTTATCTAAATTAATTTTACCGCAGAGAACGCAATGTGCTTTGTGAGGTCATGGAATGCAAGGGCGCGTCATGCGTGGATAGTGCAGAGAGGATGTTATCTACCGACAGGAGATGATACACTGCCCCGATCCGTGAATATACCCACAAGAGCTATGTCTTGTAAACAGGAAAGGTAAGTTACGTGTTTACCTATACATTAGGTACCTATGAGGTAACTACCTGATGGACCTATAGTTAAAACAAATCCCAAGTCACAATAACACTTAACAGATTTGTCGGTTGCTAAGTAAACAGATTTATTCTCTCGAGTCTATTATATTGCCTTGAGTATATTATATCTTAATAATAAAAAAATAATTTCAGACATGTCGAAGCAGAGTACAAGGTTTGTCTGTGTCGAGCAGACTGGTGCAATTCCGCGTCCAGCTTAGTGCCTTCTATTGCACAATATTTTTATAAGTGGTTAACATACATAGTTGGAAATATAATTATTATTTTTTGAATTAATAAGTTACCCATCTTTGTATAAAAAAAATATAATGTTTACTAGTTCACAACTTACGTCGACGCTGTTTTACTTATCTGCCGTTGACCCTTCATCATACCTAGATGCTCCTTATAGGCTACACTGGATCGCAATAAATGTGACTTTATGGGTTTATAAGCAGCTTTCACTTTATCTAAGGTGTCTGTCTATTTCTACGAAAAGGATGGTAAGAAATGTGTGTGTTAGTGGGCCGCGTCCGCTGGTTGCACGTGTCTTTTTTGTAGACATGCATCAATCTAAACTAACATACTTAATTAGAAAAATGGAAAATTATCTAAATTGCAATGTTATCGGATATTATTTGAAGTGGTGCTAAATGAATAGAAAGCTTCAAAGAATAAAACTTCAGCGTTGCAATAGAAATAATTAGCTATAATTGTTTATTTAATCGTAATACTAAAATAAATACATTCATTAAGTAAGTACATAATTACTAAACTAATTAATACAAAATATAGTCTCATTAAAATCCAAATTCGTCATGTTCGCCACTTCAACTAGGTCTTCATTTGGTAAAACAAAGTAATTTATTGTTATGTTTAATATTTTTTTTTACGTTCAGGTCATATAGACAGAAACTATAATATTGGGTAGACATTTTCCCGAAGAGGATTCAATACAATGCACTGGGTACATAAATCCATTGTAGGGAATGTCCATACGATTTTATGTCTACTTCATTAATACGTAACAATCTCCTGTTGTGATGCGTACCTGACTTTTATAGAACCGGCTGGAGGTGTTTGCAAGTAGGTACATGGCTACATTATTGTATATAATATTATAATCAAGTTGATCCATCGGTGGGGCAATCAAATATAATTCTGTTAGAATTTAGGTTGTTAAATTTATTGACGCTCTTTCTCTGCACCAAAATAATAATTTGTTTTTGGTATAGTGCTATGTAATTTAATCTAATAGGTCTCAGAAATGCGCTCAGGTAAAATTCATCTCCCATCTTCTTGTTCATTGTCATCATCATCTTCATCCAGTTCATCAATGGCCTGCGCAGCATCACTTGTAACAGCTTGCGCAATTAATCCAGTAATACTTGTTTCATTTTTTTTACCTTCTAAAAAGTTATAAACGAATTCATCAATAGTTTCTTCATCAAAGGGCAATAAGTCTTCGAGGTCAATTTGACGCTTTGTTCTTATCTCTTTAGTTATTTTTCTAGCAGGAGAGTAATCATTTTCATCATTGTCTACAATACCCTTCCGATATATTTCTATTGGTACATCACTACCATCACTAACATCGTATTTTATTCCTAGATCGGTTTCTTGTATTTCTATAGATCCCAGACCACTGTCTACCAATGTTTTTAAAATTTTAGCTTTGTTAGTTCGAGTTATGTCTGGTAAATCCAATTTTTTCGCAGATTTTTTAGTTTTAGGGTGTAAATGTTTAACTTCATTAGTTTCTAAAGATTTGGAAATTTCATTATTTGCTGTTTCTTTGCCAATAGAAGCTTTTGGTTTTGAACTATAGGTTTTAACTTTGGAGTGACCTTGTATTATGAGATACATTGGCACAGTAGGCATTTCGGTCGTTTGTTTGGCGGTTTCTGAATACTCTTCTATAGTTGTTGGTATCGGTGTAGTAAAACGATTGTGTAAATAGGGTCCATGCGTATACAAGGCTGGCATTTTATTTGAAACCTGTGAGTTTACATGGAATGGTTGCTTGTGAGGTACTGTTGGATTTTCCACGAGTTTGGCTGGAGGTGGCGGTTGCATGGTTTGCATTGTTTCAATTTGTATATCCTCCGGCTTCCTTTCATTAAATACGTGAACAGTTTCAGAAGCGTGAGCATAGAGATTATCTTCGGGTCTTTCGGGACCATTAACCATTGGCATGGACATCATCGGGCCAAGCATATCAAATAGGCTTGTTTCTAATTTTGTTTCTGTAGTGGGTACGGGTGTAGGTTGAAACACAACTGTATTTGTTTTTTCAGTTGTTGTTTCTTCTGGTATTTCTGTAGAAACTTCTATTGTTTCTGTTGTTTTTTCAGTTGGCCATGCTACTTGAGTGGAGCTCGCAGTAACAGATACTGGTGTTGTCGGTGGTAATGCAGTTGGGACAAATGTTGAAGTAACGAAAGGGTTTAGTACTAACTTGGGAGGAGGGGGTGATTCTGATAACATTGGTTTGTAAAATGAATACGGATGTCTGGAATAATCTGAACTGTCGTTTAAAATTAAATTATGCGTTTCATTTGCAGCATCTTTATCATCAATAGGTGTGGTTGGTCCCCATCCAGCATAATCGCTACTTACAGCATTCTCTATGATTTTAGTTTCATTAGCATTACTTATCCAATTATGGGTAGTTGTTGAAGACTGATAAATTAAATTTGATTCTTGCAATGCGTACAAAGATGTAAGATGTTCAGAAGTGGGCGTGGTATCCTGTATAACGCTCTGAAGAGGATGATTTATCTGAATTGGTGGCGGGACTTTTTTGTTCACGGATGGTTTATCGTCAGACAGGATAAAGAGTGGTGGTTGGTGACCAGGTGGAGGTGGTGGCGGGGGCACTAAAATTGTCATTGGATAGTGCTCGCTCAGTTTGTAAGTAAAATCTTCGTACTTATTCGGTAGAGGCCTGTGTGCGGGACGTCTTGGCGGTAAAGGCGGCTGTCGAGAAGTAACACTCGGCTTCCGAGAAGATACACCAAGCATTAATACTTCTGACTTTCTCTCTGGATAATGTTCTCGTTCCAATCTTGTATCGTCTGCCCAGTAGTGGACTCGCTCGAGGACAGGAGGTTCGTAATCATACGTCGGGTCGTTGCGAAGCGGGTCTCCGCGGCCAGTTAGTGGCTTCCATTGCTCAAAGTCCATACGAGGGGAGAATATCGACGTCAAGGTGCCTTGGTTATCAGTTTCTGCTCCATCTGGAATTAATTTTGAAGTCACGTGTTACCTTTATTGTTCTTTTTTCTGTTTCTGTTATCACTTACTATTTACTTTAACTGGAAGTAGGTGCATTTGCTTATAATTAAAATTATTGTCATTAACGTATGATTTGCATTTACAAAATCATTAAATAAATTATTCCAACAAGTGCTTATACATATTGGAGTAATTTAAGATGGTTTGCTCTAAAACTTTGTCCACCATATTTTATACTGATCCGTCTATAACGGATAATTTTATAAAAACGGGGTACATAAATTATAAGCACATAAGTGTAGACACTCTAATTCTTTTATATGTGAATACTTACATGTAATATTGGCAATTTGGTTAATGGGCGCCGTGTCAGTCGCAATCAAGTCGGAGGAGAATGAACGGGAAGAGGTTACTGCCACAAGGAACAATAACAGCAGAATATGCCGTAGTATCTGTAAATATAA